TGTCTGTGGAACCCAAGGGTGCCAAAGAACCCCCTCTATTCTGAAGGGTAGTCATCACACGCAGTGCCGAACCGTTGGCCAAGAGCCCAGATATGTATTCATCTGATCCAGATTACTGAGACCTGCAAAAAAGAAGGCATGAAAATACAATTGCTTTGGGGGCAGGGTGTGTGTTTGCAACTACAGCTAAGGAGCATTCCCATACAGACCGATAGTGCGAATGTTTGAGGGTCGGTGTGCTATTATTTATTTTAAACATTTGTACATAATATGTTACAAATGAGGTGTACAAATTTAAGAAATAATAATAAATAAAGCCAACCTGCATATAAAATAAAGGAATACCAAATCCTACAATGCAAAATAAATACATCAGTTGCCCCAAGCATGTTAATAATCTGAGCAAAATGGATCGGCACGGAGAGTACTTTTTCAAGTGTAAAAATGAGACACAGGGCTAAGTCACAAGCTTTCATGCAGCAGTGCATGAAGGTCTACAGAGCCCTCCAGAAGTTGTTGGGAGCTGAGTCCCAATGGTTCACCTGCTCTAAAGGTGCCTTTAGCTTCACATTTTGGGGCGGGGTTGCTGTTGATCTCTTCAACAATATTTTTTACATTTAATATGAATTTCTCATGGTTCTGTATGAATTCTATTGCTGCAAGCCCTAGGAATAAAACGATGACAGGAAGGCTATTATTATATTACAGTGACCTCGGTTAAGTACTTAATTCGTTCCAGAGGTACGTTCTTAACCTGAAACTGTCTTAACCTGAAGCACCACTTTAGCATAATGGGCCTCCTCCTGCCGCCTGCGCCGCCAGAGCACGATTTCTGTTCTCATCCTGAGGTAAAGTTCTTTACCGAAGCCACTATTCTCCTTTGCCTGACGCAGCAGGTTCCTTAAACTGTATGGCTGAGATGATTACCATAACATGCAATCTGTCTGACCTGTAATCTTCCATTTTAATTAAAACAAATGTAGAAGTACATCAGGGGTGGGGAACTTGTGGCTTTCCAGATGTTGTCAGACTACAACTCCCTTCATCCCTGCCCTTCAGTCCTGCTGGCTGAGCCTGGTGGGAGTCTGCCAACATCTGGAGGTCCCCCATCCTTGAATTAGAGGCTGTGCAACTTCTAAAAAGATCCCATAGCCCAGGGATGGAGAAGATGCTTAACTTAGGGGAAATCAGACTCGGTACCCTGGAAAGGGGCAAGGCTGGGAAAGATCTCTGCCAAGGCCAAGGAGTGCTGCTGCCAACCCATGTAAACAAAACTGGTCTAGATTGACCAATGAGCCGACTGCAACAAAGCAATGTCCTGTGTAGCCCTTTATCAAGGAGACATCTTATTAGTTCCTCTCAAATATCATGTCAGGTTGTTGTTGGTGTCTTAGATGAGGGGTTGGTAATCTGCAGCCTGCCCACCTCATTTCAGAAGTCCTCTACAAGCTGTGTGTCCATATCTGTCTAGTCTTCTGGCAACTGGCTGATTGGGGAAACAGGAAGAACATGGCTTCAGCCCTACCTCCTGCTAGTATGCTGCCTCCAGCTGATTAGCACCTCCAAAGGAATGTGGCCTTTGACAGGGGGAGCCCCTTCCCCGAAGGTTTTAGGTGGTACCTCCACCATTAGGCTAAGTGTAGGATCAGCAATCCTGTACATTGCTCAAGAAGCTGTATGGCTGCATCAGAACCTCTCCGGCAACTTTCTTCTTGAAGGAAACCTCAAGATAAGAGAGCTCAAGTAATTGTTTGTGGGGAGCCCTTGTCAGCAAGTGGCAGGATGCTAAACAATGAAGCAGGCTGTTTTATTGTGTCACTTGTGCTAGTTTTCTTTTTTAAAGCCATAATTGGCTTTTTCTAAGTTTATCACTGCTGAAAATGTGATTTATTGGAAACAGAATCTCCCCTCCACTAATCTGCCATAAAATATTCAATGAAGCCAAGAAAGTCACTCAGGGGGTGGTAGTTTCTCTGCCCCCCCCCCCAAAAAATATAGTGTGTCTGCCCCAATAAAGTGTCATTTGTCAGGAAGGGGAGCTGTGTGTTCATTGGTCCCATAGCAAAACCCAGCAGCATGAACATCTCCCACAGGCCACCTGCTCTAACAGCAGGCATCTCCCAACAGAGAACACACAAAAACCGTCATCGGGGGGCCATGATCACTGCCTAGGACTGCAGAGCTTCCTGTCTTGCTTGCTGCAGGAACAAATGGGTGCCTCACCATGATGTATCTGTTTGTTCTGTAATGTCCTAGGAGGAATTCAAGACAAAACAGTTGCTACTGAAAGAACGAGTTAATGGTAAAGTAGGAACTCATGGGATACAAGTGAGACACACAGCTACAGGGAGTCAAGGAAAGCCAGAAATAATGATGCCATCGTTCAATGAATGTTAAGGGTTTTCAAATACCTGGCTGTTATTTGCTCAGTCAAGTATCCAACTCCAGTGTGCAAAATATTATAAATAGGGATTGTTAAAGAGGGGCTCCTGGTGCCCCTATTGCGCACAGGATACTTTGAGGGTGTGGAGCTACAAGGAAGCTTTAGGGGATTGTGGGATGTTTCTAATGTATTTCTTTTCTCCTCTTAGTTTTAAGGCATCTGTGTGGGTGGGTGGGGTTGTCTGTCTTTAGGTTTGGATGTAAGGTGCTTTGGGTTGCCCTGGGCAAGAAAAAGCAACTAGCAAATTTAATAATAATAATATACATCCAAGCATAGCTAACCACTGCCCTCCTGGCTGTTCAGTTCAGTGAAGTTACTTTAGGACCAAGCAGTGCAAAATAAAACAGAATAAAAAGTAGGAGAAAACTTGTCAATATGGGAAAATATTTTTTTATTGCGCCAAAGATACATAACATTCATGCAGTTATCCCCTGAGCCACAAAGACTTCCAACATGGGTGGAGGGTTAAACAAAAAACAAAAAATCAACACCCAACACTGCTATTTAAGACTAAGGAGCTTCACATTTGGGCACCGAGAAGCATCAAATAAGATGTTGGTTAGAGGGCCTTCTCACACCACCTACACACACCTTGTAGGTAAGGAGTTGGCTGTTTTAGCACATGTTTTACAAGAAACAAAAAACTTCAGGTAAGCCACTTCTCTTGGGGAAGGGAAGAAATAAAAAGTGAAAAATCTGGGTAATGCCTACCATGTAAAATATCACAGAGGCATTGCTCTGTCTGTAGACTGTGAAACAGCAGACCAGTGTCCAACAAATAGCCTTCACTTTGGCTCCTATTTCGCACCAAGTTTCTGTCTGAGGTTTGGCTGGCAGGTGCTGCTTCAAATACAGCATCATGGCTGATGGGAGACTGCACGGCTGGAACATGCACACCATAAAAAAAGGACAGAGGACCTCTCAGGGGGGCCAGCTGGCCCCAGTCTAACACAACAAACAGTGAACAATATCACATCTGCTCAGTTACAAGGGCATTCATTAGGGTGAAGTCGTTCCCCCCCCAAGAACATACATACACTGAACACACATGCACTGTTTAGAGATGGAGGCAGCAGAAGTCAAGTACCCTCCATGAGGGTAGAATTAAGACCTTATTGCATGCATCAAAAGGAGGTAGCAGATGCCTCAACTTCAAAAATCCATCAGCAACAGCCCTCCTAATAATTCCTACTACTTGTGCAAGTTTCTGAACTCCAAACCTCAACTGTAGACTGATGACCAATTGACAACCAGAAAACAAAAGACAGCGTGGTTCAGTGAGTACAATACTGGAACTTAAAAACCACATAGGAGCTCATTCATTAAACTCAGAGAGTAAATTTGTTCCAAGGCATCAAATCTGTTCTCAGTACAGCGGCCTGAAGCTGGAACATCTGGGGGCAATAATATGGAGAAGTGCCTCTAGAAACGTGCCGAGTGCCCTTCCCTAACAAGTCAAAGCACTGCATGAACTTACTGAGTTGTCCAAGACCATGCAGTGTGTGTGTGTCGTCTCAACCTCCGTGGTCTCTATAAAACAGGCAACACAAAAACGAAGTGCGTAGTACTCTTCAAATTCCTCGTAAGCGTATACTGTGAATTTCAAAGTGCTATAGAAATGATTTAATACGTTTTTTAAAGCCCCCAAGCAGCAGAGCAAAGGAATATTTCTAAAACCCCATCTTGCCCTAAACGCAAGCAATTCATTGCTTTATGCCATTCTCATTTCAAATGTAAACAGCCCTGCAAGGAACTTCGCCCCCACATTCCTCAGATACAAGAAAAAACAGGCAGCTCCCCCCCCAAAAGGCAGCAGCATATAATAAAAGTGTTTTTGCAAAAACAGGGACACCTTTAAAAACAAGCTTCCCCCCACAAAGCCTTCCAAATAGTTGAATCTGAGGTGTAACATGCCCCCCTTGTAATGAGGTTGAATGTTGTATGATATTTACACCTCTTATGGTGTCACATTCTTGAGTTTCCTCCCAACATGGATTCCTGGAGGAACATACACATCCAGGGGAGATGCAGCAGTCGTAGAAGCAGAAACCCCGAGGTTTCTGGGCAGCATCGACAACTGCAGCCCTGGGCACTGCTCCCATAATGCCCCGGGAAGGCAAGATCCCCCTGCCTGTGCCTTCAAAGCCTCACATGCTCAGTGTTAGGGGCCTCAGCAGGAGGCCTGACCACTAAGAACCAAAGGTGCGGAACAGAACAATCCTAGGAAGCTCCTAACCCGTCACAGGATGGGTCCCCGTTGCAGGAGAGTCCCCTGCCCCAACTCCCAGTTCCCTGAGATGCCTGCAGGCACGGTCGGCACAGAAGGTTACATCCAGACCAGAGTGGAGGTGCAGCCAAGCCTGAACCTCTTCCTTCATGTGTTCAATGGTTTTGGAGTCTGGGGACAGAGAGAGAGAGAAAGAAAGAGAGGTCAGAGAACCTTCCACAAGCTCAAAACCCGTTCCAGGGGATGGCTTCGTTTTTCATTGCTTCAGCCCCTTCCCCATCCCAAAGAACCAAGGCCAGGCAAATACCTATGTCCAGGGGGTGATAGTTGCTGGTGCAGCTGGAGGAGGAAACTGTGTGCCAAGATGACCTCCTTGGCATGTTCTTCCTGGGCACGCAGAACAAGGGCATCCAGTAGCTCAGAGTTGTTGGATGTGCTGCGGTAATACAGCATGTGCACCAGCTCAAGGGAGTGGATATTCCGGCGCTGGCCAAAGACCTTTAACGAGAAGAAAGCAGGGGTGTCCACAGGAAGTAAGGCTGCTAAGAACAGCCCTCCTGGATTTGGCCAATGGCCCATCAAGCCCAGTATCCTGTTCTCAAAGCGGCCACGCAAGTGCCTGTCCAGAATCCTACAAGCAGGAGCTGAGTACAAGAGCCCTTGCCCCTTGCAGTTTCCAGCAACTGGTATTCAGCATAGCCATCACAGGTAGTAGCCACTGCTATCCCTATCCATTAATTTTGTCTAATCGTCTTTTAAAGCCATTCAAGTTGGTGGTGATCACTGCCTCCTATGGGAGCGAGTCCTAGGGAGCGAGTGCTAGGGAATCGCAATTCCCTTTAAGTGGACAAGTTGGGATTCAGGCCTCCTGGGTTTACAGCCACAGTTGCTGCAGTGCTTTTGAGCAAGGCTGACACGTATTGCGATTCCCTAGCAAAGTGTCCATCAATAGGAGGGACAGGGCGTGAGAGGAGGAAGGAGGACTTGTAGATTGAAAGTACTCATATGGGGAGATTAGTGCATTTAGAGGTGTGTATTACAGGTTTTGTCCTGAAGGTAAGGGTATCTTTAAGTGCATCTTCAATGGGTAATCCCCCAACTACCCCACACAATGGAATAAATGGTAGATACTTCTATTTGAGAAAATGACAGGGTGCGTACATAGGCGCCGACTCCATGGGGCTTGAGGGGGCCCGAGCCCCTCAAAAATTCGTTTGGGGGGGCTCTGCCCCCCCAATAATCTCCGGCGCCCCTCCAGCAGAGCGCCATCGCCGCCCTCCCCCAGCCCAAAATGCACAGGGAGGGGAGGGCTGCATGCCTCCTGCCCTCCCTCCCGAGCAAAAGCTCCACCCAATTTCCTTTGGAGCTGATTAATAGGCGCAGCACGCTCTCCCCTATTCGCTCACGAGGAGGCGGGCGCCACTTTATTTGCATATTCATGAGCTTATTTATTATTCATGAGCTTTCCCGGGCCCCCCAATATTTTTTATAAGTCCGCGTCCCTGGGTGCGTATGACCACGTGGGCCTCTTTTGTCCAGAAAAACCAGACAATTGTTCCAATCTGTCTACCTGACAGCAGCTCTCTGGAATCTCAAGGAGAGATCTTCATCATAACAGTCAAATTATGAGAAGTAATAATTATGTTTGGCTTACTGGCTTTGTGACCCATAGATTGGGAAATGCTGCCCTAAAACAGTGGCAGAAACCTCCAGATCTTGCTGGACTACAGACTCCGCTATTTTATTTTTATTTTAATCCCTGGCCATTGACCATGCTGATGGTTGGACTCCAACTCCCATCAGCCCCAACGTCGGAACTGTCCCCTCCTTCCTTAAAGGCTATGTTACCAAAGGTCACATGGCTGGCAATCTGTTTTAAGAGGCAGGGCCAGTTTTCTAGAAATAGCGGCGGCAGCATCATGCATACCTTCCAAGCCCGGAAGGCCATAAAGGCAGCGAAGAAAAGCAGCAGGGAGGTGGTGCCGATCTTCAGGTCAGAAAGCACCACCATGCCCACGTTGACGAAGAAGGCCAAGCCGCTCACTATCAGCATGCCGTTGAGGAGGGCCCTGTAGAAGATGGAGGTGCGGACCTTGATCGCGGGCAGCAACTGCTCCAGGCCTTCCAGCGGAATGTCCTTAAAGCATTTAAGCATGAGGTGAGCATTCTTAATCCGGGCAGCCACCACCACCCGTTTGAAGTACTGTCTGGTTTGGGAGGAAAAGGGGCAAAAAATAAAAAAACCACAGAGGAAGGAAAGCATTTGCATTTTATTTATGGACAAATGAATAAAATATTTCTGTACCACTATATCAAAATATATCAAGGCAACATAAAAGATAATTCAATAAAAAATATAAGCAGATAATCATTAAGGTGACTTCCCCCCAGAATGTTAAAGGCGCTGAGAGATGTTAGGAGATACCCCACCAACCCCCCCCCGAGGTACAGTTCTCAGAATCCTTTAAAAACTGGTCCCTCTTCCCAGGGAACTCTGGGAATTGTAGCTCTGCGAGGGGAGTCCTAACAACTCTTGGCACCCTTAACAAACGACAGTTCACAGGACTCTGAGAGAAGCCCTGACTGTTTAAAGTGGTATAAGGTAAAGGTAAAGGGACCCCTGACCATTAGGTCCAGTCGTGACCGACTCTGGGGTTGCGTGCTCATCTCGCTTTATTGGCCGAGGGAGCCGGCATTTGTCCGCAGACAGCTTCCGGGTTATGTGGCCAGCATGACTAAGCTGCTTCTGGTGAACCAGAGCAGCACACGGAAACGCCGTTTACCTTCCCGCTGGAGCGGTACCTATTTATCTACTTGCACTTTGTGCTTTCGAACTGCTAGGTTGGCAGGAGTTAAAAGTATAATACTGCTTTAAATGTACAGTGCAGATGGAAACTGAGGTACAATGTATAAGCACTCATCAAAACCCTGCAAATTTTACTCAGTACTGTATATTGTTGTACATATACAGTGGTGCCTCGCAAGACGAAAAGAATCCGTTCCGCGATTCTCTTCGTCTAGCGGTTTTTCGTCTTACAAAGCAACCCCATTAGCGGCTAAGCGGATTAGCGCTATTAGCGGTTTAGCGGCTATTAAAGGATTAGTGGCTAAGCTGCTCAAAGGCTATTAACGGCTTAGCGGCTTAGAAAAAAGGGGGGGGAAGCGGGGGGGAAATGGCGAGACTCGCAAGACGTTTCCGTCTTGCAAAGCAAGCCCATAGGGAAATTCGTCTTGCGAAGCGCATCGCAAACGGAAAACCCTTTCGTCTAGCGGGTTTTCCGTCTTGCGAGGCATTCGTCTTGCGGGGCACCACTGTATCATTTAAAATTATAAAGTATTGAACAAGGACCATAAAATACAATGTTGACAGAAAGACAGACGAGATTATCATTAAACAAACTGATGTGGATAAAACACCATACTAAGTGGCCAAACACATTTTGTCCATGTGGAGGCAAATACCAATAAAACATTGATGCAGCGCACAAACAGTACTGTGTTTCCTTTTCAAACAGGGATCATGCTCACATAACTTTAAAAAAAAAAGTTAAGAAATTACTTCAATCTCCAAACTATTGGAAACTGCTTTGATTAAAAAGTGCCCAAGAATCCACAGTACGGTATGTCCCTGAATTATCCATCCACATATGAACAAAACGTATTCACTGCCTATCTTCCTATCCAGTTATTGCAGAGCAGACTTCCCCAAGCTGCTGCAATCCAAATGCAGTTGGTCTCCAACTCCCAATAGCTTCAGCCTAAGGCCTAGATTTATGGGAGTCTGAACAGTGTAACAAGTTGGGAGAGGCAAATGTAGAGTCAGGGGAATAGCTCTCCCCAAAAGGATCTCAGGGTGGGATCTGTTTTTATTATTATTCACTTGCCTGTCTGGTGGAACCCAAGGTGTGCCAAAGAACCCCCTCTGATTCTGAAGGGTAGTCATCACACGCAGTGGTCCGAACCGTTGGCCAAGAGCCCAGAATCTTATGTATTCATACTGATCCAGATTTACTGAGACCTGCAAAAAGGAAGGCATGAAAATACAATTGCTTTGGGGGGCAGGGGGTGTTGTGTTGCAACTACAGCTAAGGAGCATTCCATACAGACCGATAGTGCGAATGTTTTGAGGGCGTGTGTGCTATTTTTTATTTTAAACATTTGTACATAAATGTTACAATGAGGTGTACAAATTTAAGAAATAATAATAAATAAAGCCAACCTGCATATAAAATAAGGAACCAAATCTACAATGGTGGCAAAAAATAAATACATCAGTGCCAAGCATGTTAAGTAATCTGAGCAAATGGATCGGCACGGAGAGTACTTTTCAATGTAAAAATGAGACACAGGGGCTGAAGTCACAAGGCTTTCATGCAGCAGTGCATGAAGTCTACAGCCCTCCAGAAGTTGTTGGGAGCTGGAGTCCCAATGGGTTCACCTGCTCTAAAGGTGTGCCTTTAGCTTCACATTTTGGGGCGGGGGCTGTGCTGTTGATCTCTTCAACAATATTTTGTACATTTTAATATGAATTTCTCATGGTTCTTGTATGAATTCTATTGCTGCAAGCCCTAGGATAATAAACTGATGACAGGAAGGCTATTATTATTATTACAGTGGTACCTCGGGTTAAGTACTTAATTCGTTCCAGAGGTACGTTCTTAACCTGAAACTGTTCTTAACCTGAAGCACCACTTTAGCTAATGGGGCCTCCTCCTGCCGCCGCGCCGCCAGAGCACGATTTCTGTTCTCATCCTGAGGTAAAGTTCTTTACCGGGAAGCACTATTTCTGGGTTAGCGGAGTCTATAACCTGAAGCGTATGTAACCTGAAGCATATGTAACCTGATGTATCACTGTATTACTAATAATAATATACGAAGATGCTCAGACACAGGGAAGCTGAAGGGCCTCTGGTGGAGCTGTGCCTGAACTTAATCTCCGCAGTGAGAAAACTCCCATAACATGTATGCTGGCTTTGTTAAGAGTCACATTGTGTTACTGTGAGGAAGAATGGCCCTATGCTGGGACAGGTCTCACCTGGACTTCATCTTGAGGATGGTGGACCACAAGGGCATAGGCCAGGGTTTCCTCTGACAAACTGTTGAAGTTGGCCTGGTCCAGCAATGGATCCATCCTGGCCAAAACTTCCTGTTCTTTTGCTAACCGCTCAGCATCAGTCAGAGAGAACTCCTGCAGTGTGTCCTGGTCGGGATTAATAGGAGCATAGAGAGCCTGGGAAGGGGAGAAATAAATAGCCTGTATTAATGCCATTAACAGTGTTATTATTATTTACTGCATTGATTGGTCATTTTACACAATAAAAAGCCTGAAAGCAACTTGTCAAGGTAAAATAGAATGCATAAAAAGGTAAAGGGACCCCTGACCATTAGTTCCAGTCATGACCGACTCTGGGGTTGCGGCGCTCATCTCGCTTTATTGGCCGAGGGAGCCGGCGTACAGCTTCCGGGTCATGTGGCCAGCATGACTAAGCCGCTTCTGGCGAACCAGAGCAGCGCACGGAAACGCCATTTACCTTCCCACCGGAACGGTACCTATTTATCTACTTGCACTTCGACGTGCTTTCGAACTGCTAGGTTGGCAGGAGCAGGGACTGAGCAACAGGAGCTCACCCCATCGCGGGGATTCAAACCACCAACCTTCTGATCAGCAAGTCCTAGGCTCTGTGGTTTAACCCACAGCGCCACCCCACGTCCCATAAAATAGAATGCATAAATGCAACTTAATACCATAAGAAATACAAAAACAATGGGGCCCTATAAAATTCCTTTGACACTCATCCTACAATATAATAAGGACAAGTCCTACCCATCCCACTAAAAGATGACCACCACCCTCAGCAGGCCAACACAAAAAGGCCTTAGCCTGCCAGCTAAAGATTGACAAGGATGGTGCTAGGTACATCACCTTGAGGGAGCATTCAAGAAGCAGGGGGCCACCACTGAGAAGGCCTGATTCACACTCTATACCTACCTCAGGTGGAGCACAGCAAGAAGGGGTCTGTGATGAAAACCACAGGGTCTGAGCTGGTTCATATGGGGAGAGGCAGTCCTTGAGGAATTACAGAGCTGTGGAGTGCTTTAAAGATCAGTTCCTGTACCTCTGAGCCCGGAAACTAGTGAGTAAGGCCAGTAATCTAATCACAATGCCTCCCACTAGCTTCCGGCACATGCTGTTCCCCAACCCCTTCTGTCTTTGGATGAGCAATTCATTCAGAAACAAGGCCAGTCCCCACAAGGAGCGTACTTTGTCATTACCTGTAATTGCTCTAGGATGGAGTGGTAACGGTGAAGAAGGGACGAGTCCACTTGAGAGACAAATGCCAGGAAAGTGGCGCGATCTGCTTGACTAGAAGAGTGGAACTCCTGAAAGAGGGAATAGACAAGGTTAGTCCAAATGTGGCTTAGAGGGCAAATGACCTGTTACGTAGTTTGTTGTGATATGCTGAATTGCAGCCGTTTATTAAAAGGATGCCTTACTTTGTCCTGAGATATTGTTATAATTGGCGGCAACGGGCCTGACAGATTATTCCATGCTGCTACAGCAGTGTTATCCTTAAGCTTCCCTATCAATCTGAAACAACTTTTTAAAAACTTAGTCCCCAACTGGATTGATACGAATTAAAACAGTTTTGCGAATTTGGAGCCCTCGGGGCGTTTTTGACTACAATTCCCATGATAGGAGTCCTAGTCTAAAACATCTGGTGCGTACCAAATTGGTAGAGGCGCCAGGCAAAAACATGCCTTTTCAACCAGGCCTTTGGCTGTTAACAATCCATGGCCTTATAAAGCTTGTGTGTGTGCTTTAATGTTTTTTTTGGTAAAGTCGCTTTGAGTTCCCTGCAGCAAGAAGAGCTCCTAATAGATTTAATAAATAATAGGCAATAGTAAAGGTTGGATTAAGTTGTTGTTGTTTACAGGTTTGATCTACATTTAATTAAGAACATGTAACACACATACATGCACACTAATTACTAAATTCACACCCTGCATACATAAACAAGTTATTAGCTGCCACTGGAGAACTCCACACACACACACCCTGCCACCAATTCTAGGCCGATCCAAGCTTTTGTGGTGAACCAGGCTCCCAGAAAGCTCCTTTCAGCATTTGTGGCTTGTTTCATTTTTAGCTGGGGTGCTTGGCATCATTATGAGCAAGGCTTCTATGTTCCAAGCTTCAAGTAAGACAATGTACGTCAGCTTCCTATTACAAAGGGGACCACGGTCCATTGGCCGATCCTGTGCTTTGCACGTAGAAGAGATCAGGGATCATGATGACCAGATTACGTTTGTAGGTTTGCAAGAAGTTTTGTGAGGTAAATTATTTGAATTATTGCAAAAATGGTTAAAGAAGTGGATTGTGAGTTAAGATAATTAACGGCAATAGGAATTTAAGAAATGCAGAAGAAATGATAAAAATGGTGGATCATCAGAGGTGCTGATGGAAGTCTAAAATATTATATAAGGTAAGGAGTTATATGATTTTTGGAAATGATATGTTTTAAAAATATGTAATATTAAAAAGAAATTGCCCAATCCTCCTCCTCTTCTTTTTCTTCTTTTTCGCAAACTTTACTGAGCACAGTGGTACCTTGGTTCTCAAACTTAATCCATTCTGGAAGTCCGTTCCAAAACCAAGGCGCCCTTTCCATAGAAAGTAATGCAAAATGGATTAATTTGTTCCAGACTTTTAAAAAAACCCCTAAAACAGCAATTTAACATGAATTTTACTACCTAACAAGACCACTGATCCATAAAATGAAAGCAATAATCAATGTACAGTGCTATAAAATAAAAGGAGACAGTATTGTAGATGACAAAAATGATTATCAACATGGTCATAAAAACAAATTAACTGAAAAGTCCTCAAAAACGCAAAATAAATAGCAAAAACAAAAGCACCGTTCCATCTGTTTGACTTCCGAAATGTTCGAAAACCAAGGCACAGCTTCTGATTGGTGCAGGTGCCCCAAAACAATACCTGACAACTGCATTGGACATTTGCTTCCAAAAAACATTAAGATGGAGGACTCGGGATGCGCTATAGGGAATTGGGCGCATGAGGCTATCGTGGTTTTGTGCACAGGTTCTCTCTGAGAGCTATCACTCAACTGTGAGTGGAAGTACATTGATGACCCAATATTATGTGACAACAGCTAGTTCAGATTAAACACCCTCAACAAGAACACGCGCGTCGTTATGACGCATTATACTGGAACCTTTAAAAAACCACATATAAGGAGCTCATGTCATTAAATATTTGTCAGGCGCTGGATTTCCGCCAGGTTCCACTACTGGGGTGGCGTTCCCACAAAAATATAAAGAAACAAAAAAAATCAGCAAGTCTTCCGTTTTTGGAACGATGAGAAGATGGGGGCGGACATGGGATTGTCTGGATGGCAGAGGAAGATAAGATTGGCGAAAAAAAGATGGATGAGGGAAAAACAAGGGAGCGGGGGTTTTTTGCGGCATAGGCAGTAGGGAGAAGGAAGGGGTGAGGCCTTCTCTCAAACGCAGCTCTTTGTCCTTGAATAGCTATTACTGTAGGTTATGCGTAAAAATAATGGGGGGGAGGTTTGATGAGGCATCGTATTAGCTACTGGGGTCATGGGGCTTTAATATGTCAAAGCTTGTTTTTGGGTCAACGAACTTATTTTGTCGCCTGTTTTTTGTGTTGAATATAGGCTTGTGTGTATTTTATAATGACCTAAATGGTATTAAAACCATTTGGCACATAAAGAGTATGTGCATAATAACAATTATGAAGTATTTAATTTAAATAATTATTAGCTCTAACTTAAAAATGATTTTGGTTATTCCTAACAACTTTAATTGCACCATTTGTTGGGCAATTTGCAATCAAGTTGCTTTAGAAACATTTACAAAGATCCTAATTGTTCCTAGAACTTGTGCTATGAATACTAGGTGTGCAATTATATGCATCGCACAACTATCATTATAAAATGCTTATTACATGATATAATTTGTTATACTGTAAACAATGAATTTTGTTTAATTGTGGTCAGTGCCTTTTTATACTGTACTCGTCAATATTACATAATCGTCCCACATTCATTCATTGACAGAGTGGGCAGAACAAGACAGGCGGTGGTTACAGCTGAGTACATAATGTAGGGAACTTAACACATAGGAGCTCATTCATTACTCAGAGAGTAAATTTGTTCCAAGGCATCAAATCTGTTTCAGTACAGCGGCCTGAAGCTGGTGGAACATCTGGGGGCAATTATGGGAAGTGCCTCTAGAAACGTGCCGAGTGGCCCTTCCCTAAAAGGTCAAGCACTGCATGAACTTACTGAGTTGTCCAAGACATGCAGTGTGTGTGTCGTCTCAACCTCCGTGGCCTATAAAACAGGCAACACAAAAACGAAGTGCGTAGTACTCTTCAAATTCCTCGTAAGCGTATACTGTGATTTCAAGTGCTATAAGAAGAATTTAATACGTTTTTTTAAAGCCCCCAAGCAGCAGAGCAAAGGAATATTTCTAAAACCCCATCTTGCCCTAAACGCAAGCAATTCATTGCTTTATGCAATTCTCATTTCAAATGTAACAGCACCTGCAAGGAACTTCGCCCCCAACATTCCTCAGATACAAGAAAAAAGGCAGCTCCCCCCCAAAAGGCAGCAGCATATAATAAAAGTGTTTTGCAAAAACAGGGACACCTTTAAAAACAAGCTTCCCCCCACAGTCCCTTTCCCCAAACTAGTTTGAGTATCTAGAGTGATGTATACATGCCCCCCTATGTAATGAGGTTGATATGTTGATATGATATTTACAGGCCTCTTATGGTGTTCACATTCCTTGAGTTCCTCCCAACCATGATTCCTGGCAGGAACCATACACATCCAGGGGAGATGCAGCAGTCGTAGAAGCTAGAAACCCCGGATGGTTTCTGGGCAGCATCGACAACTGCAGCCCTCGGGCCACTGCTCCATAAATGCCCCGGAAGGCAAGAATCCCCCTGCCTGTGCCTTCAAAGCCTCACATGCTCAGTGTTTAGGCGGCCTCACGCCAGGAGGCCTGACCACTAAAACCAAAGGTGCGGAACAGAACAATCCTAGAAGCTCCTAACCCGTCACAGGATGGGTCCCCGTTGCAGGAGAGTCCCCTGCCCCAACTCCCAGTTCCCTGAGATGCCTGCAGGCACGGTCGGCACAGAAGGTTACATCCAGACCAGAGTGGAGGTGCAGCCAAGCCTGAACCTCTTCCTTCATGTGTTCAATGGTTTTGGAGTCTGGGGGACAGAGAGAGAGAGAAAGAAAGAGAGGTCAGAGAACCTTCCACAAGCTCAAACCCGTTCCAGGGGATGGCTTCGTTTTTCATTGCTTCAGCCCTTCCCCATCCCAAAGAACCAAGGCCAGGCAAATACCTATGTCCAGGGGGTGATAGTGCTGGTGCAGCTGGAGGAGGAAACTGTGTGCCCAAGATGACCTCCTTGGCATGTTCTTCCTGGGCACGCAGAACAAGGGCATCCAGTAGCTCAGAGTTGTTGGATGTGCTGCGGTAATACAGCATGTGCACCAGCTCAAGGGAGTGGATATTCCGGCGCTGGCCAAAGACCTTTAACGAGAAGAAAGCAGGGGTGTCCACAGGAAGTAAGGCTGCTAAGAACAGCCCTCCTGGATTTGGCCAATGGCCCATCAAGCCCAGTATCCTGTTCTCAAAGCGGCCACGCAAGTGCCTGTCAGAATCCTACAAGCAGGAGCTGAGTACAAGAGCCCTTGCCCCCTTGCAGTTTCAGCAACTGGTATTCAGCATAGCCATCACAGGTAGTAGCCACTGCTATCCCTATCCATTAATTTTGTCTAATCGTCTTTTAAAGCCATTCAAGTTGGTGGTGATCACTGCCTCCTATGGGAGCGAGTCCTAGGGAGCGAGTGCTAGGGAATCGCAATTCCCTTTAAGTGGACAAGTTGGGATTCAGGCCTCCTGGGTTTACAGCCACAGTTGCTGCAGTGCTTTTGAGCAAGGCTGACACGTATTGCGATTCCCTAGCAAAGTGTCCATCAATAGGAGGGACAGGGCGTGAGAGGAGGAAGGAGGACTTGTAGATTGAAAGTACTCATATGGGGAGATTAGTGCATTTAGAGGTGTGTATTACAGGTTTTGTCCTGAAGGTAAGGGTATCTTTAAGTGCATCTTCAATGGGTAATCCCCCAACTACCCCACACAATGGAATAAATGGTAGATACTTCTATTTGAGAAAATGACAGGGTGCGTACATAGGCGCCGACTCCATGGGGCTTGAGGGGGCCCGAGCCCCCTCAAAAATTCGTTTGGGGGGGCTCTGCCCCCCCAATAATCTCCGGCGCCCCTCCAGCAGAGCGCCATCGCCGCCCCTCCCCCAGCCCAAAATGCACAGGGAGGGGAGGGCTGCATGCCTCCTGCCCTCCCTCCCGAGCAAAAGCTCCACCCAATTTCCTTTGGAGCTGATTAATAGGCGCAGCACGCTCTCCCCTATTCGCTCACGAGGAGGCGGCGCCACTTTATTTGCATATTCATGAGCTTATTTATTATTCATGAGCTTTCCCGGGCCCCCCCAATATTTTTTATAAGTCCGCGTCCCTGGGTGCGTATGACCACGTGGGCCTCTTTTGTCCAGAAAAACCAGACAATTGTTCCAATCTGTCTACCTGACAGCAGCTCTCTGGAATCTCAAGGAGAGATCTTCATCATAACAGTCAAATTATGAGAAGTAATAATTATGTTTGGCTTACTGGCTTTGTGACCCATAGATTGGGAAATGCTGCCCTAAAACAGTGGCAGAAAACCTCCAGATCTTGCTGGACTACAGACTCCGCTATTTTATTTTTATTTTAATCCCTGGCCATTGACCATGCTGATGGTTGGACTCCAACTCCCATCAGCCCCAACGTCGGAACTGTCCCCTCCTTCCTTAAAGGCTATGTTACCAAAGGTCACATGGCTGGCAATCTGTTTTAAGAGGCAGGGCCAGTTTTCTAGAAATAGCGGCGGCAGCATCATGCATACCTTCCAAGCCCGGAAGGCCATAAAGGCAGCGAAGAAAAGCAGCAGGGAGGTGGTGCCGATCTTCAGGTCAGAAAGCACCACCATGCCCACGTTGACGAAGAAGGCCAAGCCGCTCACTATCAGCATGCCGTTGAGGAGGGCCCTGTAGAAGATGGAGGTGCGGACCTTGATCGCGGGCAGCAACTGCTCCAGCCTTCCAGCGGAATGTCCTTAAAGCATTTAAGCATGAGGTGAGCATTCTTAATCCGGGCAGCCACCACCACC